ATCCCCATTTTTGAAATGAGGAATAGGGGCATTTAAGAGATTAAGCCTCTTGCCTGGGATTTCACATCTACTAAGTGGTAGAACTGGAATCCCAGGAGCAGTCTGACTCCTGAGCCTCAGCGCAAAACCATGAGACAATACTGACTCGGACCCTGGCCCTCACCTCTCTGTCCAGCCCTGGGCAGCCTGGGTGTTCCTCCTGACATCTAACTAAAGCTCACTCACTGGCCTGAAGTCCCCATATTCTGGAGAGAGGCACAGGCATGTCTGGCATAGAGGGAGAATGGCCATCGTGGCCTCTCAGGGCCATCACTGGCCAGAGGGACAGTCTCTTTCTTTTCTACCCTGGGATAGTCTTCTCCAGGCCCCACCTGTCCATCCCCTCTGCTCCCAAACTCTGGGGCCATTTTCCTCCCTTCCTATTCTCTACCTTGGGCCTCCCTCTGCACCCCACCTCCCCCAGGGTTGCCCCAACCCCTTTTCTGCCGGCCTCTTCCCTTGCCCAACCACACCCCTTTTCCAGGCACCAGTGACTTTCTTCGACTCCACGCCTATGGGCCGGGTCCTAAACCGCTTCTCCTCTGACGTGGCCTGTGTGGATGACAGCTTGCCTTTCATCCTCAACATCCTCCTGGCCAACTCAGTGGCCCTACTCGGCCTCCTGGCTGTGCTGGGCTCTGGCCTTCCCTGGCTGCTGCTGCTGCTGCCCCCTTTGAGCCTTATCTACTACCGAGTACAGCGCCATTACAGGGCCTCCTCGCGGGAGCTGCGGCGCCTGGGCAGCCTCACCCTGTCTCCACTTTACACCCACCTGGCCGACACCTTAGCCGGCCTCCCTGTGCTTCGGGCCGCCGGGGCCACTGACAGGTGTGTGGGGTCTGCCTCTCTCAACCAGACCCAGGGAGATGGAGTGCTGGGGTGGGGGGCAGGGGGTCCCTTAAGAAGAAAGGCACGTGGGGAGGCGCGCTTCAGGACTCCTGAGAAGGAAAAGGTGGGTGATGGCACTAAGGGAAAGAGGACAGAAACAAAGGAAAGGGGTAGGAAGGCAGAGCAGACAACTATGAAAGAGGGCGCTGATCTCTCCAGACCCTGAGGTGAGGCCTGTGGGTGTTATAGATCAGCTCCAGGAAGGAACCATTCTATGGGGGAGTCTGGGCAAGTCATTGCCACAGTGGAGTGGCCTCACTTCCTCTTGGCCTCCCCCAGGTTTGAGGAGGAGAACCAGAGGCTCCTGGAGCTAAACCAAAGGTGCCAGTTTGCTTCCAGTGCCACGATGCAGTGGCTGGACATTCGGCTCCAGCTCATGGGGGCTGCGGTGGTCAGTGCCATCGCAGGCATCGCCCTGGTGCAGCACCAGCGGGGCCTCGCTGACCCAGGTACCACCCCGGGACCTTCATTCTCACTTCAGCAGCATGTGATTCCTGTCCCCTGGCCCAGACCTCTTCCTACACTGTCCCCCAGCACTTTCCGCTGCCACCCAGGGTGCCCTGTGAGGATGTGTTGTAATTCTCCTGCCCCCCATTTTAGAGTTGAGGGAACAATCTCAAGAAGTGACTTGCCCAGGTGATGGTGGATCTGGTACTAGAGCCAGTCTTCTGATCTCCGCCCCCTCCCCGCTCCGCCCCCACCCCCAGCACTCTGCCAGACCCACCTGTCTGCCACCTCTCATTCCCTTTAGCCTCTCCAGACCCACCCCACTGCCTTGCATCCAGCCTCCTGTGGTCCTGGTCTGGTGCTGGTGTCTTCCTGCTTCTCTGCTGACCTCCTTTAAATGCCCGCAGTCCACAGCTTGAGATTTTCCCGTTCTGCCTCACTGCCCCCTACATGCGTCCCAGTGTCCAAGCCTCCCTTAGTGGCTGGTGTTCCTCTCCTGCCAGGACTGGTGGGCCTGTCACTGTCTTATGCCCTGTCCCTGACGGGTCTGCTCTCGGGCCTGGTGAGCAGCTTCACGCAGACAGAAACCATGCTGGTGAGCGTCGAGCGGCTGGAGGAGTACTCCTGTGACGTGCCCCAGGAGCCCCAGGGCCAGCCGATGCAGGTAGGCCTGCACCTCCACCCCGGGCCTGGAGCTGGCACCCCGAAGGATCCTCCCGACAGCCCAAGTTCCTTTCACTCCTCACCATTTTCCTCAGCTCCTCCAATGTCCCTGTACGATCTTCCCTTGCTTCACTGTGTCCCTCATCTTTGTGCCCATTCTCCCCATCTCTTCTTTACTTGCCCTCACTTCTCCCACCTGTCCTCTCACGCTGTCCACTTCTCATTATTTCCCCCTCCTCCACTCTGAAACCTCCCTTCTTTTCCCCATGTCTCCCAATCTCACCCATCTCCCCCCTCTCCTGCCCACAAACCCCACCAGCTAGGCACTGGCTGGCTGACCCAGGGGAGCGTGGAGTTCCAGGATGTGGTGCTGGTGTACCGGCCAGGGCTGCCCAACGCCCTGGATGGGGTGACCTTCTGCGTAAAGCCTGGAGAGAAGTTGGGCATCGTGGGCCGCACGGGGTCTGGCAAGTCTTCCCTGTTGTTGGTGCTCTTCCGGCTGCTGGAGCCCAGTTCGGGGCGAGTACTCCTGGACGGAGTGGACACCAGCCAGCTGGAGCTGGCCGAGCTCAGGTCTGGGGTAGCGAGAAGAGGAGAGCCAGACTCCTGGCACTTAGAGGAAGGCCCATCCAGGAAGGCTTTACATAAATTCAGGGCAGCGAGAGTCAGCTGGGGTCGAGAAGGTGGATAGGACAAGCAGGCGAGGATAGCGAGCTCCCAGTACTCAGGACTAGGGTTATAGCTGTGGTCGCGAGATCTCTACTCTGACCCAGGCCCACCTTTCCAGCTTCATCTTTCTTGTACTTCCCAGTATGCACCCTGCATTCTGGACCATCACTGCACCCTGAAGCAGAGCCTCCCCGGGGCTGCTCTCAAGATATTCATCCCCCAGCACTGGGGCTTGGCCGGTGGTGCCCTGCACAACTCAAAACCTGGGCCAGTTGCCCCTGGCCCACAAGAGGCCAAATCTGGGGCCAAACATGTCCCCCCATCACCCCCAAGTTAGCCTAGTATCTTCTCTGAGTTCCATCATGTGGAAAAGACAGGGAAGCTCTGTTCTGAAGCCCATTTCGGATCCCGGGCCCTGGCCCTGCATTCCCTGCCTTTTCTAACTTGTGGCGGCCTGACATTCTAGCTCCACCCCAGGCCGCCATATGGCTCCCCAGGACCCAGTTCCAGGCCCTCCAACCTTGACGTGTCCCTTCCCTTCTATTCAAACTGCTCATTCCTTGCCACCACTGCTGTCCCAGTGATTGCTGGAGTCAGTGCGACACTGTTAGCCCACTCTTATTCCCTGTGCTTTGTAGGTCAGTGAGATGGAAGCTCCTTAGAGACAGAGTCTATGCCTTGGTTTCTCTGGTAGCCCTCACAGCACCTGCGCAGTTCTAGGAGCGGGGTTGACCAACTAGGGAGCAGAGTGAGGGTTACGCTCAGGCCTTCTCCCCAAGCTTTCCTGGAGGTGCTAGACCTATAGCTAAAACCTGTGCTGGGAGCAGAAGTGACCACATCTTCAGCCTTAGACCCCATGTCCTGTCCCTTCCTTCTTCCCCAGATCCCAGCTGGCTATCATCCCCCAGGAGCCCTTTTTGTTCAGTGGGACTGTTCGGGAAAACCTGGACCCCCGGGGCCTGTATGAGGACAGGGCCCTGTGGCAGGCTCTGGAGCAGTGCCACCTGAGTGAGGTGATCGTATCTATGGGTGAGTACCAGGCCCTACCCTGCAGAGTGGAAGAGAAGGGGCAGGGAGAGGCCTGGGACCCGGAGGTGAAGTGCTGTGCCTTGCAGGCGGTCTGGATGGTGAGCTGGGCGAGGGGGGCCGGAGCTTATCGCTGGGGCAGAGGCAGCTGCTGTGTCTAGCCAGGGCTCTCCTCACAGATGCCAAGGTAAGGTGAGAGGAAGGGACATTCGAGAGGGCCGGGAAGAAGGCAGAGGCATGTGAGGGGTGAGGAAGTGAGTTGGGGAGAGGTCTCAGGGGACCAAGTTCGTTTTCCTTTTAGAGCTGGAGGTGGGGAGCGGTAGGCTGGGCTGGGCTCAGCTGGAAGGTGGAGGCTGGTGCTTGGGCAGGAGCCAAGACTAACCCTCTTCTCCGTCCTCCTGCCCACCCCTCCACATGTCCCAGATCCTGTGCATTGATGAGGCCACGGCGAGTGTGGACCAGAAGACAGACCAGCTGCTCCAGCAGACCATCTGCAAACGCTTTGCCAACAAGACAGTGCTGACCATTGCGCACAGGTGTGCAAGTGTCTAGTGTGAGGATCTAGTCAGGGGCTATGGTATCAGGTACTCCAGGGGTCAGGGCCCTAGAGATTCCAAACCCCTGTGAACCTCAGCTCCTTGTTCTCATAGCACATTGTCTGAAGGAATCTGAGGCCCCCTGCCCTGCCAGCACAGAGCCATGGATAAAGTCTGTGGGCAGAACTGTGCTGTCCCAGGGAGGGGAGGAGGGAATGTGGGTCAACTTTCTGCTGTAGGACGTTGCCCTCCACTCCCCTCACAGACCACTTCCTCCCACACAGGCTCAACACTATCCTGAACTCTGATCGGGTGCTGGTGCTGCAAGCTGGGAGGGTCGTGGAGCTGGACTCCCCCGCCACCCTGCGCAACCAGCCCCACTCTCTGTTCCAGCAGCTACTGCAGAGCAGCCAGCAGGGAGCCTGCTGCTCATGCTGAGGACCCAGTAGGTCCTGACCCTCCAGGGTCTCCCTTCTGTCTTACCCTCTGCTGGGTGTCTGAGAGCTGATGTTTGTTTACATTCTTGCCCATGGCTCTACCTCACCGGCGCTTCCCGGGAGGGGAAAAGGTGTCTTTGAAAACCACTCCTAAGGCAGCGTCCCACGGTTTCCCCAGAACCAGGCCTCTGCTCTGGCCCTGTTACATCTGTGACTCCAGGCAGGTTTCTCTGGCAAAGGAGCCCACTTATAATTTCATAGTTTTATTGGATAAAATTCCCATCTTACAGTCTGTGTATTAAAAAAATAATATTTCTTGTGTGAGGCTGCTGAGGGGTGGCAAGAAAGGACCACTCCGGTCTGAGGGGCAGAGGAGGTGAAGGAGGGGGCTCGGGAGCCCCCACGACCATCACAGTGCTGTGGTCTTTCCAGGCTCAGGGGGCAGGTCAGGCGGCAAGGGGAGCCCTGCAGGCAGCATGCTAACCTGGCACTCCTGGTCCTGGCGTGCTGGGGCGTAGTGTAGTGCCGGGTAGCCACAGGGTCCAGGGGGACAGACACCCCGGCGCCAGGCCCTCAGGGTCAGCAACACCGTGGACAGGACCAGGATGGCAGTGAGCGCCCCGAACACCACCATGGCCACCAGGCTAGACTCACCTAGCGCAGCCTCTTGCCTCCGCACCACCTCCTTCACTGAGATGCGCAGCAGACCGGCCCCTGCGCTGTGAGGGACAGGCCCTGTGGCAGGCCCCACAACAGCTGAGGTGGGCCCCGGGGGGATGTCTGCTATGGTGTCAGGGTCCGGGACAGGTAAGACTAGCTCACAAGTCTTGCCACCATAGCCGCTGGGACACAGACAGTCGAAGTCATGGACACGGTCCCGACAGCGGGCCCCTCTCTGGCATGGACGGCTGGCACAGTCATCCAGGTTGATGGTGCAGAAGCGTCCAGCAAAGCCCTCAGGGCAGAGGCAGGAGAAGCGGTTTATGCCGTCCAGGCAGGTGGCGCCGTTAGCACAAGGCCGCATCAGACAGTCGTCTACATTCACCTCACAGTGGGCACCCACAAAGCCTGCCAAGCAGCGGCACGTGAAGTTGAGGGCAAAGCCCTGGTCATCCTGGCACTGCCCGCCATTCTGGCATGGGGAGCTGGGGTGGAGGTGGGAGAGGGCTTTGGTATGGACTCACACCTGCAGGGTAGCCCAGGCCAGCATCCTGACCACTGCCACCTGACCCTCCTTCCAGCAGTGTCACCCTAAGCCACATTCTGAGCCTCCAATGCCTCCTTTAAAAAATGGGAATAAAAGTAATACCCAGCTTCTAAACTGCGAGGATTAAATGAGATAATCCAATGTCAAGCAGTTAGCATGGGGCTTGGCCTGAATGCAAGGCTCAAGGCAAGTGTACTGCTATCCTGGCAGGCTCCTAGGCCTGACCCAGGAATAAGGACAGGCCCAGCCCTACAGGCCCATTTCCTTGTGCATGCAGTGAGGTGTAAGGCTGCTCTGTGGAACATCCTTAGGGGCTGCATGGCAGCTCTCCTAGGAGGATGAGGGGAGTCTGAGTTCCTCAGCCTCCCCCCACCAACAGCCAGAGCAGAGACACATTGATCTGTTACACCTCCAGTTCCTGCAGATCTTTGTTGAAGAAATGGTTCAGAAGGTATAGAAAAGCTGAGAAACCCTGAACTAGGGACACTTCAGCAGGCTGGGTTTTTATCCCCCGGGGCTCCCAGGTGGGACTTCTGACCCTGAGCCCTACAACTTCACCACCACCCTCTCAACAGTCCTTTCTCCTGCTGTAGCCACCAGATTTATATCTAACCTTGAACTCACCCCATGGGGCCAGCACTCACCCTGCCAGCTCACAGGGTCCAGTCTTGCGCTCACAGTCCCGCCCATGGAAACCTGGTGGGCACACACAGTGGTACTCGCCGCCCCCATCGTACACACACTGGCCTCCGTTCCGGCAGGGAGACTGCATGGTACAGATGTGTTCATCTATAGAAAAGACAAGGAAGGCTCTGGGACAGCCCCTTACACCTGGAACTCAGACCTGCCCAGGCCCCACCTGAGGCTCTGTGGGTGCGGCTTCTACTGCAAACCCACCCAGGCTGGTGTGCTGTGGTGGGGGAAAACATCAACACTGAATTCGGCATCAGGCGGCTTCTAGCTCTGGCAATGTCAGTCTGTCTCAGAGTGACTTTGTGCAAGTTCTATCTCATCTGTGGGTCTGTTTCCTCATCTGAAAGATGAGTACGATTTTCTGCAGCTGCCTTGCCTACCTCATGGGGTTAGGTTAAAGGCCAATTCAGATAGCAGATAGGTTTAGTCTAAAATGATAAAATACCACATATTTGAGTGTTTGAGCTGGATGAAATAAATATGAATGGATGTTCTCCCAAGACACATGGGGTCTTCTGACAAACAGCTGCCCTCTCCGCTCCCCTACCTTTGTCACAGAACTTGCCCGCCCAGCCACCGTGACAGATGCACTGCCAGGGTTGGTGGCAGGAACCGTGCTGGCAGCCAGGCATCCTCACACAGCGCTCACAGTGCAGCCCCTCCCAGCCGGGGTCACACCTGATGGGAAGAAGCACAGGATCAGGGCTCTGGGTAGGGGATGTGAGGAAATGAAGGCAAGACCAGAACTTTCAGAAAACAGGACATTTGACCGTCCCTAAGCAGAAGCAGGCCCATCCCAGAGAGGTGTGGGCCGTGTAGGTCACATACATGGAATCAGGTCATCTGACACCAACATTCAAGTCCTGGTTCTGCACTTTGTCTAATCTCTATGAGCCTTAGTTTCCTCAGGGATGTGTTAATGAAGAAACTAAGATCATGTCTGTAAATGCTTCCACTAGCAATCCTGGCACACCTGAGGCTGATCTTTTTTTTTTTTTTCCTTTTTCTTTTTTTTTTTTAAGAGTGACCCTGAGCCCTGGCTGGTGTGGCTCAGTGAATTGAGTGCCAGCCTGTGAACTGAAAGGTCACAGGTTCAAGTCCCCATCAGGGCACATGTGTGTGAGAAGCAACCAACTGCTGTTTCTCTCGCACATTGGTATTTCCCTCCCTTCCTTCCCCTCTCTCTGAAAATAAATAACATAAAAAAAAAAAAAAAGAGTGACCCTGAAAGATCACCAGGACTATCTTCCTACACTAATTCCAGGGCAAAGGCCTGAACTTAAAAACAAACAAACAAACAAACAAAACCGAAAACTCTCCAAGGATGGAGAGTCTGGAACACCCCCAATGTCTCCAGCAGCTTGCCCTGTCAGCTCGTTTCCTTATGTCCAACCAGACACATTTACCTCCTGCTACAGAATTTGCCCGACCCCCACCCTAATGAGTCAATTACTCAAATTCATCAAGAAAGATCTTTCATAAGTGCTTCTCCCCAGCAACTCTCCTGGCAGCCTTTCTTTTCCAGGCTGAGCCAATTCTCTTTACATCTTTCCTTTCTCCCTTTCCTCCCAATCTCCAAACTCTCTCAAGCTTCAGGTCTTTCTCCTGGTATCTTGAGGAGGAATGTTTCAGAATTTCTGGGTCAGACTTGGGAGAGTAAAACAGTGGAGAGACGTAAGCTGGAAGAAAGAAAAGAGTCAAGGAAAAGGGGACTGGAGATGGGTGAGGCTGGCCAATCTGCGCTGTGTGCCCTGGCGGGATGGGGAGTGAACAATAGGGTCTTAAGCCCCTACACACCTGCCCTGGGGCCAGACCTGGTCGTGAGAGTGAAGGGGTGGGAAATGGGTAGGAAAGGGTTTAGGAGCACGTGTTCATAAGAGGTACCTGCAGGAGCCGTCAGGCTCACAGAAGCCGTGGGCCAGGTCACAGAGGGAACTGCAGTCATCGGCTGCAAGAGATTGATGTGGGAGGAATGAGCCAGGGATCCGGGTTGGGCTGCTTGAGATGCGGGTCTCGGGAGAGGATGCGGGGTTCCAGCAATTGGGTGGGCTCGGTTCTGGGGCAGGGCAAAAGAGAGACTCGTCCCATTCCAAAAGGACGACCTGGGTTTCAGCAGCCCCAAGGGTCCGAGCGGCTGCAGTGCCGTCTCTGGCCGGCAGAGGTCAACGTGACCCCCAAACAAGGGACGGCCGGAGAGGGCAGCGACCTGAGCGGGGGTGCGCTCACCTACAGCAGGCTGAACGAGTGCCCACAGGATGCACAACAGGCACATGAGATGTAGGCAGCTGCAGCCGCTGGGCATGGTCAGCGCCGGCCCCAAGAAGGACGGACGGATGGACAGCCGGACGTGCGGACACCTGTGGGACAGCACAGGCTGGGAGGCGGTCGAATGAGGATATGGCTGCACGGATTGCAATTCCGAGTGATAGGAGCAGAGGGGGAGAGGGACGCCCAGACGGAAGAAGGGAGTGGGGGCAGCGGGAGAGCTGGAGCGGAGGGGGGGGGGAGGGTTGAGCTGGCAAGGGGTTTGGACACAGGACTTAGGATCGGGCTCTGTGCGAAAGAGGTGAAGGATGGGCAGCGTGGAGAGAGGTCAGGGCGCGCGAAGACCAGGAGCTCGGAACGCAGCAGAACAGAGGAGCCCACGGGGAAGAGGACAGCGCCGAGGCGCGGCCTTGAGGACAGAGGTTGCGTTCCCAGCAGCGAGCAGTCTCCGATCCCACCCCCGACTCCAGCCAGGGCTTGCTCCCACATCCCCTTCCCACCTCGGCCGCGCTCGGCTTGGCTGCGGCGCCGGGCCTGGAGTCCCCGAGCGCCCCTCGACCTACGCGTTCCTGCCCTCGCGGTCCTCACCTCGGGCTGGGAAGCGGCGCGCTCGGGGCGCAGAGCGAGGCCGGATCCGACGGGCTCCGCAGTGGGGCCAAGCTGGGGCGCGGGGCCGCCCCTAGCGGGCCGCGAGGCCGGGCGCCGAGGCGGCTGCCATGAGAGCCGAGCGCTCGGGAATCTGGGGATCAAGGCGACCCCGAGCGGCGGCGGCGGCGGCGGTGGCAGCTCCTCGCGCGCGCTCAGGCCGCCTGCCAGGGGCGGCGTGTGCCGGCGGATCCCGGCTACGCACTCCCCTCCCCGGGCTGCTGCCTGCCCGCCCCCTACCCGCCAGCGGCGCACGGCGCACACCTCGCCTTGGTGCTCGGCGTACGCCCCTTCCTCCGTTACCTCGCTCTCCCCTGGGCCCCCACCCTCCGCTGCCACCTAACCTCTCCGAACCTTGCTTTCTTCATCGAAAGGAGGACATTATGGGAGCCTAAAAGGGAGCAGACTGTAAAGTGCCGGCCAGATGTGCGCAGCCCTATTATTCTCCCATCTCGCATCCCGGCTTTGCTGACCCGTGCCCCTCACCGCCGCCCCACCTCGGCTCTCACCAGTCCGTTTCCCATTACGCTTCTCATATGTATCCCATACACGCTCAGGGCACAGCGCCGCTCCCCGCCCTCTTTCTGTCATCAGCCCACGCCTCCTCCGTTGGTAAATCCTCCTTCACCTGCTTCAAATGTCTGTGCCTCTTCTACACTCCCTCCGCTTCTTTCTTCATTGCAATCCACAGCCTTCCAGGATCAACCTATGCCCACCTAAGCATCAACCTCCCTCCTCCCCATCCCTGCCTCTGTCAAGTTCGTTTTTCCCACCACACCGTTCCTTTCTGTGACCACTTCTGGAAGCCCCCCCTGGACTGGGAACGCCCCTGACTCTGTAAATGTGTCCCCCGCCCCAGTTCCCACTTCTGTGCCCCGGGTCGCATCCTTTCTTGAGCTCAGACTAATCGTCAAATGCCCAAAACCAGATCTCAGACTGAAAGGGTTCTGTGGGGAGAGTGGAGGACTACGTTCTAGGCTAATGGCTCAGAGATACCTGGGCAAGGCCAGGACCGGAAACAGTTTCCTGTTTGCGCAGGTCAAAAGGGCAGAGGTGAGGGAAGCTACCTAAGCCTTCAGATAAAAGATTTCACCATCTTTAAGTTCCAAATATTGGAAGGCGGAGTCTCTAGCCCGACAGACACCCCACAGGGACCGAGCCCCTGGACTAAGTTTTCTTGCAGCCTCCATAGGACCTATCAGCCACACCCATCCCATTTCTCTAGCCAACTTCCCGGAAACTCTGATCGCCTCTTCCCTAAAGAGCTGGAATTTGAGTAATGCCATGGCTCTAACCATTTATTTTGTTTAAATTTGTTTTTTAGTGAAAAACTGCAAACAACCTACAATGTCCAATTAAGGTAGTTCGAATAGATTCTGTGACTATAAAAAAAAATCAGCTCTTTGAAGCTTGAAGATGTTAAAAACAAAACACAACAAAACAAAATAAAAACCCCCCAAAACCTAAGGATATGTTAACTACAGGCAGGGAGAAAAAACTCAGAACCTATGCCAATTGGGAGTGATTTTATTCTATGATGGAATTATAGGTTATTTTTTTCATATTGGTGCTTTTCTACATTTCTCCCTTTTTGACAATGAATGTGTATAATTTTTACTATTACGAAAGAAATTCAATAACACTAACGAACTTTTAGAATAATGTAAAAAGAAAAAAGTCACCCATGATCCTACTAGTATGATAAAGCCACTATTGTTTTTTTCTTACCCCTTTTCCTTCCCAGTTGTTTTTACACAGTAGCTGTAATGCCGTATCCTGCTTTTAAAAATGTACCTGAAATGCTGTACCCTGCCTTTTTTTAACTCCACATAATGTATTGATAGCTCTCACAAGCACATTTTTTATGATTGTCTAATAGACCATTAAATAGATCATAATCTATTTAACCTAGCCCTCATTGTGGTATACTTACAATTGGATCCTTAATTGTTTGCCATGATATATATATTTTTGCCATGATACATATCTGTTATTTTTTTAGAGGGGAAGGGAGGGAGAAAGAGAGGGAGAGAAACATCAATGTGTGGTTGCATCTTGCGTGCCCCCGACCAGGGACCTAGCGCTCAATCCAGGCATGTGCCCTGCACTGGGAATCGAACTGGCAACCCTTTGGTTTGCAGGCCGGTGCTCAATCCACTGAGTCACACCAGCCAGGGCTGCCATGATAAATTCATTCAACAAATATTTCTGAGCACCTATGTGCTACTACTTTGTGCTAAACATCATCATAGGCACTGGGGACAGAGTTCCCAGTTAAATAGTAGTGCCACAGATTTTCATGCTTATAGTTTTTTCTATGGTTTAGGCCAAAGAAATTGTGAAAAATAAACAATTCCTTCTCATTAATGAAGTTTATTGGCATTCGCTGATGAAACAGTAAAGATATTTGAAGCTTTGAAAGCTGATGGTGTCAGATTGTATTACTTAGTACTGCTCCATCATGCTTTAAAGATTGTAGCACCCAACTTGTTGTCACTCTCTTCACTCCCATTTCTGTCAAATTCTTGGAGATTCTTTTTTTAATGATGTTTTTTAAAAAATTAATTTTAGAGAGAGAGAGAAGGAAAGGAAAGGGGTGGGAAGAGAGAGAGAGGGAGAGAGAGAGAAACATCAACTTGTTGTTCTACTTATTTATGCATTCATTGTTTGATTCTTGTATGTGGCCTGATGGGGGATCAAACCTACAACCTTGGCATATCAGGATGACGCTCTAACCAACCGAGCTACCTGGCCAGGGCAAATTCTTGGCGATTCTTAATGATTCAGTACCACATAGACAATTCTTCCATTAAATGTGATAGGTGTTTTTTTTGCAAAGATGGCCATTACGCTACTTCCTGTCCCATTTGACCTTTCGCAGTGATTTTGCTGCTCCTTCTAGCAAGAGGCAGAGTTTGTTTCTTAACTCCTTAAATCTGGGCTGACCTTATGACTTGCTTTGACTGAAAACATGTGGCAGAAATTATATTGCATGAGTCCCTGGAGTCTGGGCCTGTAGCTTGCCCTTCTGCCCTCTCAGAACACTTCCCAAGTCATGTAAAGACGTCCAGTTTAGCCTACTGGAAGATGAGAAGACCCAGGGAGGACAACTGAGGTACCCTGGCTGCCAACCACCAGGCACCTGAGGTCATATTACCCAGCCCCAGTCACACTTCCAGATGACTGCGGCCATGTGAGTGTGTGTGCCTGGGCAAGACCAATGGAACTGCTCGGCAGAGCCCAGCCTGTATTCGAAAACGATGAGCAGATAAAGGGTGGTTGATTAAGCCACTCAGTTTTGGGGTAGTTTGTTAACCTGGCAACAGATTAAACTGATAAAACCAGCTTTGCTTGTCCTTAATTTCTTCTTCTCCATCAATGAGAAGAATTGTGCCAGCCCAACTTGTTACTAATACTTCACACACTCCATAATCTCAATTTTAAGTATCATACTTTCCTGTTACCAACTTGTATCTTTTCAGCCCATGCCCTCTAGTATCGAGATTCAAACAATTCTGGATACTTAAGGTTGTGTTTATTTTTTGTTATTATAAATTTGTTTAACAATACTGAATTTGGATCCACTGGGCCTCATGACAACTTTTGTGGTCCCTAGGCACTTGACCTTCAAGGCTCCCTTTCTCCACAAAAGAAAATTAAGAATTATACTTTATGCCCTGACTGGTGTGGCTCAGTTGGCTGGGCATCATCCCATAAAGTGAAAGGTCGCCAGTTTGATTCTAGTCAGGGCACAGGCCTAGGTTGCGGGCTCAGTTGTCGGGGTGCCTACAAAAGTAGGGATGCAATTGATTGATGTTTCTCTCTTACATTGATATTTTTCTCCCTCCTTTCCCCTGTCTCTAAACATAAATAAATAAAATCTTTAAAAAAATTACACTTTATGACTGCATTGGTATGAAGAGAAATAGAATCCAAGTGAGGTTCATTATTATACTGTAAGTCCTCATTTAACATCATCAATAGGTTCTTGAAAACTGTGACTTTAAGTGAAACAACATAATATTGAAATCAATTTTACCATAGTCTAATTGATATAAACAAGAATTAAGTTCCTATGATATATTTCTGTTCACAAAAACATCACCAAACTTTTAAATAAGGACCCAAAACACTTCTAATATTAAATATTGAACTAAATATGAACTATACATACATTTAAGAAAAATTTAAAAAAACAAGTAAGATAATTATTTTCAAATCTGCTCATTCCAATCCAGTGCTGCAGGTGGCGGGGGCCAGACCCAGCAGCTCAGGGGGAAAAGTAGGGACCCACCCCAGGCAGTCTACCCTTACATCGGGGTGCACGCACACACATCCACACTCACTCAGGCTGGAGCAATGTAGATGTTCAGTTCACCTGAGGTCTTGGGAATGTGGGAGGACCCA